AAACTAAACATACCGCCAGCCTAAAATCTGATCATCTCATTTAAGGACACGTGTGCTTATATTCTTCCTAACACAATTTGGACGGTGTGGAATTTCATTCGGTTGGTGGTATCACTCTTTTATATCGCTAGCTAGGTTTGGTAGAAATGAAATGATGCTATTTCTTTTTACCAAAAAAAAAAAATGCTATTTTTACTTTCCAAGAAGGTATATTCCCCCTTTTCTACCTAGTTTAATTCTCTTTCCTCCCTTTTGTCTCGGTTCCAATTGACAAAAGTTAATTCGTAATGGATTAATTATAAAACTTAAGAGGTAATCACTTTTTTTTTTCTGTCACGGAACTTAAGATTTAAACACTTGTGGCTTGCCAATATTTCATGTGTTTATTCATGTCTAGATGTCTGATGACTATGAAAATTTGTACGAGTGTAACTGTGTAATGGATGCTCACATAACCTATGGGATTCTAGTTCGAGGTACATCTAATGGTTTGCACAAATACGAGTGAGGCTTGCTAGTTGCTAGAGAGTTATGGATTAAACATAACTACATATGCGTGTTTGAGGATTTTTCTTCTTCCAAGTAATGACAAGAGATAAAATAGTTACAACTTTTACTCGGAATTGTTGGGATGAATAGTTTTGAAAATCTTTAAATGAAATTACTAATTAATTATATGATAATTTTCATATACGAAAATAATATGGATAATTAATGAAATTAATATTATGGAGATAATTAGGATTAATTATCTTAATACAATGCATTGTAATTATGGAAGTAATTATCTTTCTAATTAAAATGTGATTTATTCCCAAAGAAAGAGAGAATATTTTGGGCTTATACTCCTATAAATAGCAGACCCCTAAACCCTCTAAGCACACCTCAGAAGAGCATAAATACGAGAGAGAGAGAGAGTGAGTTCATGTCGTTCCGATTTTCGCACAAGACCGATGAGCAACAAATTAGAGTGGTTGTTTTATCCTGGAGGCGACTAATTGACAGTCTGTCATGCGCATAACGAGCTAGTGCCACAAACGTTTTAAAGAGAGCGACCTAGTTCGCGACTCAGGTAGATCGGTAACCTAATTTTTTCTGTTCGATTTCTAACAAGGATCCACTCAAAGCAACACTTAGTGAACTCACCCTAACAAATCAAAAGAAACCAAGTCTAACGAATGTAGTAACATGACTTTATGTGTCACTCTATAAGCAGTCCAGAAGCTACGTAAGGCAAAACACTCTAACATAATTCCTTATGTGTTACCAAAATAGCATTAGTGGGAGGCACGTATCAAATTTTAATTATTAATTGACGAAGTTTTCGGTTGTTGTAAATTATAAGATGGATAATATTCTTATCATGTTTATATTAAGAATTTAAATAAATCGTATCCCCTCACTACGTATTGCAAGTTAGTAATTTAGCTTAAACAAAAAAATAAATCGAAAATAACGAACACGAGATGAAGAGTATAAACCATTTTTCTCCCTTTGTCTATGGTGGATTCTTAACTTATTTACGGTCTTTATTTGATATGTTCTTTTGCTCTTAGTTTTTCCCTTTTTGGAAGTTGAACTACATTATAGAATGAAGAGTAATAATTTGTCACTTCATTAACTAACACTCACTTTGAGACAAGTAAAAATCGCATCCATACAACAATTTTATCTTGTAGTGAAGAACTGAAAGCTATTTGTTTACCTATATTCTTGCCTTGTATTCTTTGTTGATTAGTCACTTGTTCTCCCTTTAATTAAGTTAAACTTTGTTTCTTTTGGAGAAAAAAACATGAAACAGAAATTACCGGTAATGACTCAATGAAGTTGAAGAGCAATCTTAGAATGTGTATATGAACAAGAACAATGAACGTAAAGACATCCTAATTCATGATATTATAAGTAATTCAATAGTACTCGTGGTAGGCGGGATTATAGTATGTTCACAGTCTTTAAAAGTATCCACAAAATCACTTGCAATTAACTGGTTCTAGTGTAGTAACGGTAAGATCCAACAATAGGTTTTTTATATAATGGTAATAAGATCCAACAATAGTGTGTTCGAAATTCCATGATTTCTTTTGAAATTTGTATTTATCGATCTTCATTTAGATGGAGTTATTATAATGTTAAATATGAATTGGTTATCTCATTTTTTAGTTCGGTAAGGGAATGACAACCTGACAAGGTAATTTTTGCAATTTTGAAATTTCTTATTGGTTTGTATTTGTTCCATACCACATTAGCTTTGCCATTCACGACTAATTATAATTAAGTTACATTATTGGTAGCTTATGTGATTCAATGCTGGTCCAATGCTCGGTGGGAGTGTCTTTAGTGAATGAACAATAAAATTTTGGGTTTGGTCTTCCTATTTAATGGACATAAAACGCACATGGGTTAAAATTACTAGTTATAGGACAGGATACTATGACTACCAAAAGGAGTTGGGAAGTTGTCATTATTATTGTTTTATTGGAAAAATTCTCATAATAACGATGCATGGAAAAGTTCCCATAATAATGATACACGGGAAAACAACAATTTTTCGTCTCTCCTTCTCTTTCTTTCAAATTTCTTTCCACCAGAACCCTCCCCCGGCGTCTTCTCAGTCCAGCAAACCCTCCCTCCGGCGGTTCACCCTCCGTCGGCCAACTTCCATCAGCGGCCCAACTTATCGTTGTCTCCCTTTCCGCCGACCCTCTTCCATCCCTCCGTTCCCCTCGACTCTCCTCTCCTGCGACATCGACTTCATCACTTCACGCGGTCGGAAATCATCAAGATGATCTGGACTATTCCGTCTCTAACATCGAGCATATGGAAGACGACGACAGAGGAAACACACCGGTGGAGTGGTAAGTGTACCAATGGAGTGATACTAGTAACCATATGTCATGTTTAGGCTTTAAAAAAATTGCGAAGACTTTATCTTTATTCACATTCGAAGGATAATTTATTGCTTTTGGCATTGTTGTTGCCATTTCCCTAATTTTGCAACCCATTTTGGAACACAGTTTTTGGCTATTAATGGAAAGTTCCTATTTTGTTGACTGATTGAATGTTTATTGTGTTGCTTGTGCCATAATTATATTTCATGATCAAGTAAGTATGAGTATTGGTATATTGATGACAGTCTTAATTAGTACCAGTTCAGTGGTATAAGTACCAGTATAGTGGTATAAGTAAGTACCTGTTAATTGATATGTATACCAGTGTAGTGGTATAGTACAAGTTCAGTGGTATATATGTACCACTGAAGTAGCATGATTACAATTGAAGTTGTGCGAAGACCATTTCTATGTCATTACTCGTCGGCAAAGATATTTCCATGACATTGAAAGAAGTTAACCAATAATTACGACAAAGAAAAATAATAAAATCAATTCCAAACTTCAAAAGCGGTGGAGACCACAATATTTCCATGACGATGTATTTCTTAGTTGACCCTTAGCGTGTTGTTCCTTATCCTGGCTCTCACGATGCCATTTCTTGTTGGTACCCCGTACCCGCACTCGAGGCAGGAGCTTGCCTATCTCAACTTTTACCGTTTCCTCTTCGTCATGGCCATTCCTGAGGTCATTGGGTAGGAAGACAATAATCAGAAATATCATTGAAGTGATAGAAATATGAGAGTGATAAGTAAGACAACTAGCCATAAACAACTAGCGATAAGTAAGACAACTACACAAAGAACGATGTGGAATCAAAACTGTCATTGGAGTGGTACTTTTACTAGCCATAAACAACATTATATACCACTCCGGTGACAGACACACCTTCAACTAATTGGAAACAGAACTACCACTAAAAGTGGTACAAATATTAGCCGCAATAAACATTTTATAGAAATACGAGTTCGATAAGACAACTATCACTGTAGTGGTAGAATTACCAATACATCTTTGCACCTGCTGACTCCCTCCGAGCACCTGCAAAAAAGTACCACTACAGCGGTAAGACATGTCACTTCACTGGTACAAACACCACCAGAATAAAAAGCTTATCACTGATAACGTTCAACCGACACTCAGACAGTGGTAGAATTACCATTGCAGTGGTAACATTACACCGGTATCAATACCAGTACACTGGTACTAATACCACATGAAAAAATCCAGACCTAGAAACTCAAAGACACATATATGAGTAATGAAAATACCATTGAACTAGTACTAATACCACACGAAAACCCAGATCTGGGTTTGGGAGAGAGAGCTACCTCAGATTCTTCGTCGTCGTCGTCGGGAAGGAGAGAAGGCTGTCATCTTCGCCCGAGAAGGTGAGGGTAGTCGTCTTCACCGTCGATCCCTTCGTAGTGTCAAGTTTGTGGCGGCGGCAAGTGTGGTGTTGCTCGGAGAACAACGGCAACCACCATCCGAAACGTAGCACACGACGGAGGATGGGGGGCGGAGTCGGAGGGAGAGGGTCTTATTGGTGCGTCGACGACTAAGGAGTGGATCTTGTTGGTGCGTCGATGACCGGAAAACATAGACTGTAGCTGCGAAGAGGAGACGACGAGGAGCAGGGTAACAGAGAAATCAGGGAGAGAGGAAGAGATGCATGGGAAAGATAAAAGGGGAACCAAAAGGCCAATTAGTGCCCTCGATTTCCGTCCCAGTTTCCCTAATTAATATGGGTCAGACAATTAAAATAGGTAATTAATATCTAATTATCATATGTAATTTTCTCATCATTGGATTACTACTAATGTACATCAACGACTACTAAGATGGATGTCAAAATCAGACCCCTCTAAAGGGGTAGTTATGCTAACCGATCCCCTAGTTATATCTCGAGTTGGTTCTGTTTATCATGCACCATTATATTGAATTTTGGCATATTACATTTACAACGCATTTATTATTTTAGGTACACGGCTGGTAGTGACCAGTTTGTTAACGCCCGTTAGTAATAAAGTTCGTGGAGATTGACAAGGTTTACAAATATTTGATGACTTTTACTATGCTATAAAGTATTGGTGGTTTAATGTACAACTTAAACTTTAAAGTTGAACCATCACATGAAGGTACAAGTTTAAGTTGTACCATAAAAGAATTTGTACAAAAGAGTATATGTACAACAATCTAAAATTGTATCATAACGTTAAAGGTACAACTTTAAGTTGTACCATAAAGACAAAAAATTATAGCACCAATGCTATATAGTCGTAAAATTCCTCATATTTGATTATTTATCACAATTATACCGCTTTCTTGAGTCAATTCACTTTTTATAGGATAAATCATTAATTATCTAAATCATTCGAGTCGATTAACAAACAAATTCCATCAGTGTCTCATATGTGTTCATTTTTCATGTTAAGTATCCAGGACTCCGATCCTTGACAAATATGATGTTCATTCATGGGCTTTTCAACAACAACAACAAAAAGTCGTTGGTGTACCTTTCCAGTAATGTGTTCGTAAACTCCAACTAATTAACCCGAGAAATTTTACAATGCTGTATAATATTGGTGCTATAGGTTTTTGCTTTTATGGTACAACTTAAAATTGTACATTTACGTTATGGTACAACTTCAGATTGTATCTATACTTTTTATACAAATTCTTTTATGGTACAACTTCACATACAAATTGCTTTATGGTACAACCTAAACGTATACATTTAATATTATGGTACAACTTTAAATTGTACATTAAAGCACCAATACTATATAGCATAGTAGAAGCGCTCTTAGCACAAAACTGTAACCTCAACGTGAATATTAAAGGGTGGCGTTTATGTTTAACTACCACTCAACTAAGCGCGTTTTGCGCCTTCGTAATTAACTATCCATCCACTCAATAGTTACTCAGGAAAAGGTGGTGCTAGCTCAACAATGTTAATAATCTAATTTACGAGCTAATGAAGGAATCCACCAACAAAGAGGAGAATTGGAAGGTGGAGTCGAACACACGCAAAGTCACCACGCCACGTCGCCACCGGCCTTCCCAAAGACGAGCGAGCTAACGTGGCAGTCCGAGCTGGACATTCCAACCACCTCGATTGGGCCATCAAGACGACACGTTGGCGGGTACAGGCTGGCACTTGGACCCCACATCGCGACTCCGTTGCGTTACTATTCACGCCCTTTGTTTCCCCTCACAACACAAGCCTATTTATTTAAAAAAAATTAGCCTATTTATTTAATTAGTTACTCAACAATTAATTAAGAAATTGAAAAATACCTAATTACTACAGTATAATGAAGTAAATAAATAATTAATAAAATGGAAGGGGGACAGGGCAGGAAATATAAATAGTGGGCGGGGAAGGAAAGAGGTACCGGGTTGAGTCCAAGAACAAGAAGGCGTGCTTTGCGCTTCCAAAAACAGAGAAAGAAAGTAAAAGAGAGAGAAAGGGAGCAAATTCCCCTAAACCAAGCAAAACCAGCCAGCCAGCTAACAATAGAGTGAACAGAGGTTGAGTTTGGTGGGCGTGTTGTTGTTTCCAGGGAGTGATTTCTGGTTTCGGTGCAAGACGGCAAAAGAGGAGAAGGAGGAGTTTTCAGGCGATCTGCTAGTCCTAATTTGTCCGCTTTGATAAATCTTCCACAGAGGGAGAAGGTGTTTCGCTTTGCTCCGCAGCCTCTTCAGATTGTCTCTTCTTGTTCCTGTTCCTTCTGCCCGCAGAAGGGATTCGGGTTTAAAAGGGAGAGGAAGAAGCAGAGTTTCTCAACAAAAACAGCAGCATAGTCTCAGAAGAAGGAAGTCCCAGAACAGAAGACAGAGTTTACAAGGCTCTGTTTGTGAGATCAGCAAGACGGTGGAGAAAACAGATAAAATGGAGTGGAGTGCTTGTGTAGATGAGTACGAGAAGCTTGTTATCAGGATGACTACTCCTAGGTTCGTCTCTCCTCTTCTTCTTTATCCTTCCTTCTTTTCCCCCTCTTACTGTTTTTTTTTCCGATTTAAATTTGCTCTGTTTTCAAATTTCCGGGCCAAAATCGTGCTCTGGGCTAGCCTCCGTTTTCCAGTGACTTTTCTCGCCGAACCCACTTCAGCAATTAGCGCTGCGGTGGGCGGTGGATTTCCAATTCAATTTTTGACCTAGTCTCTGCTTTTCTTCCTTTTGCCCTGTTTTTCAAACTAATTTTCCTCCCAATTTTCTATTCCGGCCTCGTTGTTTCTGGAATTCCAACCAATTTTCTCTCTGTGTAAACGCGTCCCCCTGATTTTCTTCCCTCTCTGACCTGACCCTTATTTTTCCCTTTTCCAATTTACAGGGTAGTCATCGACAATGCCGTTTGCCCAACTTCCACCGTCGTCAAGGTAATAATCATTCAAACCCACCCAGGGGAAAAAAGAACAGAGCTCCCCCTTCCCCTTAAGTATCGGTTCAAGCAAAAGAAATTGACTAATCGTACCCTTCTTCTCACTTGCAGGTTGACAGTGCTAGGAAACATGGCATTTTACTCGAGGCAGTTCAGGTCCTCACGGATCTAAACCTCTCCATTAAGAAGGCTTACGTCTCCGCTGATGGAAGATGGTTCATGGATGGTGAGCCTACCTTTCCTTTTCTTTCCTTATAAAACCCCTTTAATGGCGTACTTTTCATCCATGGTCAGTTAAAATCCGTTAATTAATTACCTTTCCCCTGATTTCGGATTCTTGGTTCGTTCCTCTTTCTCCTTGCAGTTTTCCATGTAACCGATCTCAATGGAAACAAGCTAACCGACGAGAGCGTTATTAACTACATCGAGCAGGTAATTAACAGTAATTAAATCGCGTTTTCAGTCACCCATACATTTACTGATACTGTTAATTTGGGATTAGAATGATCGGATTCTAGAAGTGAGTTTCTGATAATTTTCCTCCCACTTTGCTTGCGTTACAGTCTCTGGGTTCAGTTCACTACGGCCAACCCAACGATTTCAGCGGTTCGACCGCTCTGGAACTGACTGGAACCGACCGGATCGGACTGCTCTCTGAGGTCTTCGCTGTGTTATCCGACCTTCAATGCAGCGTCGCCGACGCCAAAGTCTGGACACACAACGGCAGGATTGCTTCTCTAATCCATGTGAAGGACTCCAACTCCGGTGCCCGAATTGAGGACGTTCAGCTAATCTCTGTAATTGAGGCCAGGTTGAGGAACGTGTTGAAGGGCGACAACGACATCCGGAGTGCCAAGACCTCTGTTTCAATGGCAGTCACCCACACAGAGAGGAGGCTTCACCAGATGATGTTCGCTGATCGCGATTACGAGAGGAAGCCCATCTTGGAGAGCGTTCCTACGAATTCTCCTGTGGTGGTCACTGTCCAGAACTGGGTCGAGAGAGGGTACTCGGTGGTGAATGTTCAAGCCAAGGACCGTACTAAGCTGCTGTTCGACGTGGTCTGCACATTGACTGACATGGGGTACATTGTGTTCCATGCCACTGTCAACACCATTGGAGACAGGGGATACTTGGTATGTTCTGTTCTGTTCCAATTCTCGATCACAATAGAATATATGAATGAAGTTGCATTGTTACATGTTCTGTTTAATTTGCTAATTAGTGGATGGGGTTCTTGCTGGCAGGAATTTTACATTAGGCATCAAGATGGCACTCCAATTAGCTCGGAGGCCGAGAGGCAACGAGTGATCCTATGCCTCGAAGCTGCAGTCAAGAGAAGAGCGTCGGAGGGAGTGAGGCTCGAGCTGTCCACCTCAGACAGGCAAGGGCTTTTGGCGGATGTGACGAGGACTTTCCGAGAGAACGGGTTGAATGTGACGAGAGCAGAGGTGTCGACGATGAAGGAGACAGCACAGAATGTGTTCTATGTTACAGATGTCATGGGGAAGCCGGCAGATGGGAAGATCATCGAGTCGGTAAGGGAGAAGATCGGGTTGAGTTACTTGCGGGTGAAGGAACTGCCCTCCTTGGTGTACCACAAGGAAGGTGGGGAGAGGGATGAGCAGGCGGTTGGTATGGCTGGGACTGTGTTGCTGTCGTTGGGAAGCATGGTGAGGAAGAATCTGTACAATTTGGGGTTGATTCGATCTTACTCATGAAGGATGTTGGTTACAAATTGGGGATGGTTATTCTTTGCTTGAGGTTTGTGATTTGTGGGTTTGTGTACATAATGAGAAAAGGGTTTGGGGCCAAGTGAGTGGGGAATTTGGTGATAGTAAGTAGCTGTAGTGGTTGTTATGGTTGGTTGAATAGATAAGAGAGAGGGGGAAGGGGGTGATCCACCATATTAAGAAGGCAATATATTCTTGTGATTCTTTAGAGAAAGAAGAAAAGGGAGGGTTTAGTTTGAAGGTGAAAGATTTGATATAAGATTGGGGGAAAAGGTGATTATGGGTGTCTTGTGAAGATGAAGAATTAGTATTATGGCTGGAAAAAGAAATTTAGGGTTTAGATATGAAGAGATATGGCAGCTGCTTCTCTAGATTATTATATATATGAATGAATAGAGAGAATCACACATTTGTACATAACGATCTTCTGTTGATATTTTAATGAGAGTTGACTTGATTGTTTTCCTACACAACAACATTCTTATTCTTGCAATGATATGGGATGGCATGTAATACGAAATAATTGGGGTTGACAAAGATTACATTCAAGCATGATGCGGAACTCCCTTAATTCAACAAATATTATTCTCATTTCTTATATGTTCATGATTAGGAGCGGTTGTAAAATAACGCTATAACCTGTAGTATTAATCAGTCAATCCAATTTCAGAGATTACAAAAAAATATTTTTCACTAGCCATTATGTTTAAGTAGAGTTTAGATATCGACAAGTTGTTGAATCAGGTCCGCCATGTTGATAAAATTCATCTATAGAACTATCTTTCTAAACCCGAACTCATGCCAGTTTGAGAATGATCATTCCCCCCCATCCCTTCTCTTTTAACAAGGGATGAAAGAGCCTTTGCTATATAATTTTCTCTAGATGCTGCTCCCCTTTGCTGTTTCCTTTCTTTTCTTGTCAATAAATGAAGTTGGAAAAATTTCACATGATCAAGTGAGCCTTTGATCCTGAGAAAAGAGAGGAAGGTGGGTCATGAATGATGGGTGGTAGATGCATAATGGTGGCAACAAGTAAGGAATAAGGGAATAATATTGCAAGCAAGAGGAAGGGTGTGGTAATGGAGTAGGTAAAAGTGTAGGTGAATCTGAAATTAATAGTGAAAATGACTTTTCTTCATTGTTTCTTTGCCTTTGCAAAGATTGCTGTCCAGATCATACACATATATAGCTGGCTGGGATACTATTGTCTTGTGGGCGCATGCACCCAACAACATACAAACTACTTTAACCACGCTGTGTGGAAAATTATACGAGTTGTTTGCTTCGTGAATGTGAAAAATAAAGGTTTTAGTAAAATCTGAGTTTTGAAAAATTGTAGATGTAAGGAGGTTTTGTGTTTATTATGGACTTGAAAAACATAATTGTTTGTTTCATAGATTTAATGATAGATTTTGTGTTAATTAGATTTGTATGTATAAAGTGAAATTTAGCTTTATTGTCTTCTGTGGTATATGAAGAGAAAGAAAATAAGAAGGATAAGTTGATACAAATGATAGACTTCAAAATTCATGATTAATTCGCAACTAAAGGAGTGAGATATTCAAGTCCGTGAGGCGACAAATTTGGACAATCTAAATCCGCGGATCTCACAGATTTATTGCCAATAAATACACAAATCAAACAATAGAATTTATAGAAAGCTCACGATGAATCCAAATCTATCCTCAAATCCATCACCAAAACAAACCCGTAATTCCATGTCCATAGTTTTGGTACTTAGTAGGCTACTTTCCCATAAAATTTCCGGATTTCCCCCATGGATTCACGATTTGCATAACCAAGAGAATGGGAAAAAAATACCACCATTGGCGATTTGGTGTCTTGGTAATATTGTACTATATGGTCTAAAAAATATCAATTGTGAGCTTAGAGTTTCAACTTGATTGGTCTCGAGGATAATGTGTCAAACATGGATCTTTTAAACTCATTCCTCTTTACTTTTTGAAAGTATTGCTGGAAGAGGTAGCCATCCAAATAATCACCATTGCAAAAAAAAAAAATAATAATAATAATTAAAGTAGCCATCTCATTTTAATATCCCAACGATTTTGTTTCTAAATTTAGATTGATTAACTAAACAACGGGAAACAACCAACTCACTCATCTCTGTTCAAGTTTCCCATCCAAATCTAATTAAACGTAAGGCAATTGTGTAAGTATGACTATCTTAAGTCATTCACTTAACATAAAACTAGTAAAGTATACAATAGCTCATTCAAGTTAATATCTAAAAAAGTATGAGTTTGATGGAACGATCCAAACCAAAAAAGTGGTAATTGAATATACGTGGAAAGGAGCAAAGCTTCGGTAGATGTTGGAGACCAGATTCAATTCAAAACCTACAAATCAAGGGGGAAAAAGCTAGTCTATTAATCTGCTAAAGAAGGTTACAGATCGCTATCCTGAAAGTATAGTCAAATTAAGCAGCCAGAAAAGGATGCAAATGTGAGTACAAAGAGACAAGAAAGTAAAGACGGACGGCAACTACTTGTCTCTGTGTCCCTCTTCCTCGAGGTGGTAGGGCAAAGCACATGCACAACACAACACCGCACAGGAAACAAATCAAACTTCCATTGCCATCATAAATAAAATTGATCCTCAGCAAAACCATATCCCTTCCATGCTTTGTTTTCGAAAACAACTCAAGAGATGGGGATTGTCAAAAACCAGTTGATTTCAATGACTTGAATTATTGAGAGAAGGTAAATTTTGGATTTTATATACTTTTTTTGTCAATTTTGGGAGTGATGGAGATTTGAACACACAACCACTTAGTCAAACCAACTCTGATATCATGTCAAGAATATGTTAATTCCAATAACTCGAGTTGTTAAGAGAACGTTAATTATGGACCTTATACCCGTCTCTAACATAGACGACCTCACAAAAAAAAACCTTATTTCCCATTGAGAGAGATGGTAAATTTAAAATAAAATTTACCGTTCAATCGATTTTAACGTTTTATGGATGAAAATCTAACACAAGGATAAGTTTGACAACATTACTATTATAGAGGTATATATATATATATATATATATATATAGTAAAGCAACGTATTTGACAGAGAAAAAAACTCAATCAAGTGACAAATTGGGTTAGAAACTAATAAGTTTAGTGGTCATGAAAAAACATAATAAGAACTCATCATCAATTGGTTCATTGTCCCAAATGCACAAAGTCAACTGTGGGTCACTAATTTGTTGCCATCAATTCATAAGCCAACACAAAGAACAAAACCGACAACAACAATTTCCCTTAGCACATGTAGATGGAATTTCGATGTGCATGTAACTAGTCCATTTTCCCCCTTGCTTAAAGTGAATACGTACACATCACATAATACATCTACATTATTATTATTATCTTACAAGGAGCAAAAGCTGGCATTCTTCTCGGTTTTGGTGGCACCCAACTAAGAGCACTTCTCGTGGTCCAGCATGCAGGAATTCTCTTGGATTGGATGGATGGGTGAATATATATAGCACAAGAAATGCTGAAATACAAGTAATATATCCGGCCGAAAGAAAGACCCTTTTTGACTCCAAACCGAAAACATTCTGTTTCTAAGCGTGTTCTGTTGTGTAGCATCGGGGTTGGAGTACTTCTGCAGCTGGCGCGGCTTGTGGCTCTATCTCCAACGTAACAGCCAAACTGTATTTGGATGGTTGTTGTTAATTAGCCAGTAGTGCGGTTTTCCTATTAATAAAGACCAGACCAGACCAGACCACGTACGTTTGACTGACTGCATGCGACGTACCGGTAACTGCGCCGCTCGAGCCGGGTAGACCTGTTAATTTTGATTGCTTTACTGACAATTCCAGTTCATGAATGGTGTTCTTTTTTTTCAACTCACCAGGCCGATCTTTCCAAGACAGTCACGTGACGTGGAGCCAGCCAATATTAATGGCAACAAACACATAGTGATAAAACAGCCGGCATTGGAAAGAAAGAAAGAAAAAAAAAGCCAGTACTCGATCGACCAATATTCATAGCATGCATGTGTTTCTTCCCTATCGTTTCCTTTGACCAGCATACTTTGTTTGGTAATGTCTGTGAATATTGCACACTTGAACTTGATCGATCTTAGCCAAAAAGGTCGAGAAAAGTATGTACGTGAGTATATCTTGAATTGTGGTCACTACACCAGAGCTACGTAGTCTTTTCCTATGAATTAAATTGTTTTGAGATTAATACATCATGAATCATGGTTTATTCCAAGAGCAGACCAGCTAAGGAGCTAGCAGTAGCATCTTCACAGCTTGCAATTGCAAATGGAACTGCAACTCTGCAAGTGCCTAGTTTCTATCACCCATGCAGTTTGTACCTACATGGACTACTATTTTGAGATCGATCAAAATTAACCACATCAAAGTTATTATCTTGTCCTTAGTAGGGTTGTTAATGAGCTGAGCCGAGCCGAGTCGAACTTTCCATAGTTCGGGCTCGGCTCGTTAATATATTTCTAGGCTCGAGTTCATCACGAGCTTTAATATGCAAGCTCGAGCTCGGCTCGTTTATGAAAATGAAAGGTCGAGCTCGAGGTCGGCTCGCCAAATAAGCCTAACGAGCCCAAAATCGAGTTCAACACATAAAATGTTCATTATAGCTCAAGATTGAGCTAGAACTGAGCACAAAATTGCATTCAACCCTGCAGTAAACTCTAGCAAAACAAAACACAATATTTATCCCAATTTCAATACATAAAATCTATGAGTTCCAATATTTTCTAATGCCAAAACGTTAAATGAGTTTGTTCGCGAGCCGACTCAATTAAGACGAATCAAGTATCAAACGAATTTTTGTCGAATCGTTCATTAGCGGCTTGATTCATTAACAACCCTGGTCCTTATTACCGCTAGTTGACTTCGTTTATATTAGTTTTTCAAATTTATATAAAAAAATTGACATGTAAATTTGCAGTTCATTATTTAGGTGCCATACAAAATGTCATAACGGGTCAGAAGAGAAATTCTAAATTTAAAAATCATCTAAACCCTAACCAGTAACTAGTAGGACACTGACTTCAACCTTTATCCACATCTATTAAAGGAAGCTATTAGCACAAAACAGGACACACAAATCAATAGAAAAGAGATTATTTGAGAGGAGAATCGTTTGCAGAAAGTAAGTATATATACAAATTCAAACAAGCGGATGCGAATGTGATCACAGAAATTAAAGCAATATTTCTATCTTTATGCTAAAGTGGCTCGATCACAATTCACAATATCCCCCTAGCTAGCTCCATATGGGGAGGTGGGAAAGATCAAAAGGAAAAAGATAGAGGTGAAGATTCACGACAATTAAGCTCCACTTGCACAAAGAACCGCCGTATGTGGAATATGATTATTCCATGGTCATGGATAGTAGTAATTAACAAATTGTACATATTTTGATTCAACCAATTAAGCATAATTATTTGGTAGGCATGGCATAAGAGATTGCAGAATTTGTTCTTTTCACATGTGGATTTAGCTAGCCAGTCTTGTTCTCTGCCGCGAACTGTTGCCAGCTAGCTAGGTAAGATTAGAGCAACTTTTTTTAGAACATATAATTACCCATATTCGGGGACAAGGGACGAAACGACCTCTCGATCTATTTACTGCACCCAAAAATAAAAATGTCCATCTAGGCCTTCCCTCTTGCTTCGAACCCTCTGGGAAGTCTGGTTAGTTCAGCGAGCGTGCGTACTCCCTGTCCGCGTATCTCACACTCCTCAAATATCTTTTTTTTAATATTTCTTTTTTTTTTCTTTCCATCAAGTAGCATCCTTTAGTTCCAATGGTAACAGTATTATTATTCTCATCTTGTAATTCACTCCAAAATAATTCCAATTTTTAAATGTAAATTTATAATATGATGAATTTATTCTAATTTTCGCGAAAACGACAACTATTTTAGGTGAATTTTAATATTTTCAAATGGGAACAATATTGTCTATCAATTTTGGAAGCTCTTTTTGCTATTTTCTTCTACGGATACATGCTAATGAATAAGTCTAAACCATTCGACTCCAAATACTTTGTATTGATTAAGAACGCGCGATGCTAATTGCAATGTCCATTCACAACATAACATAACATAAAACAGAACAGGCATCATTTTCTGTCCTATTTGTCATCTCCAATTATAACTAGTTTGGCTCTTTCCATATTAAACTACCCGAAATCAATTAGCTTTGACCCCTTGAACGTGGCCAAGAGGCAGTAGGGATGCCATTGAGGCATTGACCATTCTCACTTCATCCCCACCAAACTAATGTCTCGGCAACTAACAAAGAGTGTCTCAAATAGTACTAAAAATATGATCAATTGAACCTAAACATTAAGCATGTCAATATGATCATACCGAACGTTGTATCAAAATTTTTAGTAGTCGAGCATTTTCTAATTAAATAATATTTTGACCTGTGGTTGAATAATTTCATATCAGTAAAATTGTCTAGCGACGAACGGTTCTACAAACACTATAAATTTCTTAAATTGTTGTAGCAGGCTGTTTACACTGTTGAATTGCATTTGCATCTATTAAAATTTTTTCGGGGAGAGAGGTTGATTATTATATATCTAAATTATTAGGACATTCAGTAACGGTCGTTGATTTGTTTGTTTGTTCATCCTTTATTATTTGTGGTGGAATTTACCAATAATGATAACCAAACGAAATAGAGACAATAGACAATGGAGCAAAATTATTGCCACCACTGCCTACTATCAATGCTAATTAGGAACTACATATCATGGGGCAACTTTATTTTGCTATGCAAATATTAGACCCCAAAAGTAATATTTTGTCTTTCTTGTAGTATATACTCTTCTTCTAGCATAGATGTTTTATATTATGTCCTTGAATGTTGACGACAAATTCCCTCTTTTTCTTAAGCTTAAAGACAAAACTTGAACGATAGTCATAAGTTACTCACCACACCAGCCAGGACGTCGTCAGGTGGATAGCACTGGGTGTGCAATCGAACCTGACCGAACTTATGAGAACTGGCATTTAATACTAAAAAACATCTTATGATTAAGATTTGGATTAATATTGTAATCGGTCCAATTCAAATATTAATTTGGTCTATTTTTCTCAATATTTATAAAATTTATGAGACTATAAATACCATACCACATTACTTATATTTGGTTCGTAATTGTCCGATCTAGCGTCGGTTTGTTCCAACACTTTCCTATATGAACCAAACCGTTGTACTCCCCCTAGATAGCAGGAAGCCAGCAACAGGCTTGCTCATACGATTAAGGGTCGAGGGAGCCTGGGTTTGATGCCGCCTGAGAAGGGAAAATAAGAGGGTTTTCTCTACCTAGGTACACGGTTCGAATATCTTTGATCTTTAATCTCCAATCTTTCCTAACCCAAAATTTTTACTCCGCTCAGTTTTAAGTAGATATACAATCAAATTACCCGAATTGGTAGCTTTAAGTTTAACCAAGTGATGAGCGTCTCCTTAAGTGGCCACTGACCAGGCTAAATTTAATTACCAATACTATTACAGAGATCAATTTGAACTAATTGTATCGGCGGCAAACAACTCATGGAACATGGATGCACACAACATATATATACTTTTGATCATCTACAAAGGAAGAAAGAAAGATTTTTTTTTTTATAATGGTGAATAGATATTAAAAGAGAAATAAAAGTTCGGATACAAGGAAACAATCAAAGGAAAGAGATCACATGATCTGATCTCAAAACACAGAAAGACAAAGGAAGACAAAACAGATTCTAACAAGGATGAAATGAGAGAAAAAAGAAAGAACAATGCTAGATGGATCAAACCATCTCTGCACATCACACAAAACAAAACATCTGCTGGGAAAACAGTAACTGTCAAAGATAACACAAGTCACAGAACAAAGAAACAAGATCCAATCACACTAAGCGAACACGACTCCATCCGAGAAGAGGAAAAAACTGTTCCAGCGAGAAGGCGAGGAAAGTCACAGCTCTTGAAGCTTGTTTCTAATCCAAAGATAGCCTTGATCTTTACCAATCTTGTTGTGCGCAACAACCCAATCAATCATAGTTCTACAAGCAATTTTAGTGATAATAGCAGGTTCCAGCTGAGTGTTGCGGAAGATTCGATGGTTCCTCTCTTTCCACACCTGCCAACAGATAGAATGTAAGGCGAAGTAGACAATCCATTCTTCGATATCACTCGGTTCATCTTTGTGCCATCTGCAAATGGTGGTTAGAATATCTCCAGAAGGGGGGTTGATGTTCCTGCACACTCTTCTTATCCTGTCCCAACTCCCAAACTTCCTTGCTGAAAGTGCATTCAACAAACAGGTAGTTGATTGTTTCTTCATCTTTACGACAGAGCTCGCATCGATTTGCAAGCAACCAACCTTTCTTCTGGAGATTATCAAGCGTCGGGATTCTCTTGTAGAATGCCCTAGCTCCATGGTATTGCATACATGTCTCATACCTTAGTAAAATTAAGCTTCTCTAATTCACAGCAACAATATTGGTTGACATTTTGACAAGTGAAGAAAAAAACATAAATTCCCCACAATAACTAGTTAATTAGTAGATCATCATCAGAATGATTAATTTGACTCTGGGAAAAGTGGGACTTTGTTCTCTATAAGCAATGTTAAACAATTGTGAAAGAAATATGTCAACAAGTGAGGAATTATTATGTATCAATGCTATAAATAATGTTCATGACATCACAAAATTGGAAATCAGGAAATGGATAGACACTGGCCGGATCCATCTGGACATAATTTGGCCGGCTTGGGCCGGGTGGGTGGTTGCCATCACAATTCACAATATAAACTTCTTTTTTTTTTTTTTCTTTTCTTCTTCTTTTGGAGAATTGCATAGAGAGAGAATAATTCCAGAAGAAAATCCATAGGGACAAGATGACAAAGAAATTAAGAACTAATCTATGCGTCATTTCCTACTTGATAACATTGTATTGTCAACTTGACAATGCAATTACACAAAGTTGATCCCTCCCAAGGCCGGCTTATGTTCCTAGTTTCTACATACTTTGATGTTTCGTTAATTTGTCAAACTAGCTAGCTTGACACATATATAACTAAGCTTCAAAATAACTAACCGACCAATTATTATATAATTCAGCCCGTTTCCATCCGACTTTTCATTTAGGTTGTCCAAATTAGTTACAAAGTAAGGTTGATCTTACTATACTTATATTGAGGCGTTGTTTTAATAAACTCGTGTCTTAATTTAGATAAAATTCATTACTTAATCTATCAAATCCATGTTACCCTGAAATCACCCTAGTAAGCTAGTTCTTTTCTCTCATACTGTCTTATGCTGATAGTTTGAGAGCGTAAATGTTCGTCTATATTACTATTAAATTTGGTGAATCAATACATGAATATGTATAGTTCAATCGAAAATTTCACTATAGAGATTGTTAACCATAACACTCAAAATTTAATGAGTCCCGACGCTGTAAATTCTCTTACATGTGTGTTTATATTTCGATATCCAATTTCTTTTTATCACAATATAGTTTTTTTTTTAAATGAACATTTTGGAGATATATAAATACTAAATATAGATAAATTATTGCCGCAACAAAAAAAAAAGAGGATCAATTATTGTGGAAATTACAAGGCCATCTCTGCATAATATTCTTTAATGAGCTTTTTTTTGGATGATGTGCCACAATAAGACAAAGGGTTAAGAGAAGGAATATAACTGGAATCTAGCTAAGCTAGCTCTCTCCTTGTTTTGTTTTGGCAACCTACTAGCTAGAGATTGAACAACCGTTGAAGCTTCTCTCTAAGCTTGCTGATAAAATCGATGATGCAAATACAGGACAAGTTGCATCTCTTGGAAAAAGTAGATTCCTGGCCGTATTATGAAAGCCTTCATTATTATTTTTGTTAATCATCTCCTCAACAGACGCTAAATAAATATAAATAGATATATAATCAGGCGGGACAATTTAAAACAACGTAAGCAAATTTGTATCCATATGTTGCGGCATAATGTCATGATCGGAGTTCGTTTGTCTCCTAATGACAATGACGGACCTACTTCTTATTACTTAGTCTCTCTCCACATATCTTTTGCTTAATCTGACTAATTATTGTGGTGTTTCCATCCATAAATATCTAATATTTTCAAATGGATTTTTGATCAACTTGCCCCAGTCGGCTGCCAATTTGAAAATTTCAATTTAATTGTCGAATAAGGCTTAGGATATCCTTGTTCCAAAATCACTACCAGTAGAAGATATATAGGTTACTCGATTATATAAGATAGGCTGAAGGTAGAGATTTTTCCAAAAGTTTGAATTTTGGAAAACAACTTTTTTCTAGGAGCAATAGCAAAAGGAAACAGGGGGAAGATCTGCTTTTGAACATATTATTATGAATAAATAATAATATGTTAAAGGATGACTGATACAGGATCATATTGGCTTGGGTTCAATGGTTGAACCAGGCTGGATCCCGGTCCACCCTGATGATGGTAACATATTACAGCCATTGGGCTTCCAGCCCTCCACCTCCTTCGGCCTTTTGCTGATCTTTATTTAAAAAAATGGAAAAAAGTGTTGTGAGCACAAAGCTACAAGTTTTACATTACGGCTCTGGAGTAATTTTGGGCTATAATGGGCTTAGATTTTTTTTGGGTATAAATGGGCCTGCTTCTTTTTGACGTATACTAACTCTATAATAATCATAGTTAGTATATACTCCGTTTAATACACGTATATGTACCCGTACGTACTTTATCCGTTTAAAACTTCCGTATCCGTATTATTGTCAAGCCGTTTCATTTTTTTCCGTTCATTGGATGGCTCCCGTACTAAACACGTATAAAACCCGTATAACACGTTTAATATCCGTATTTAATGAATTAAATTGTGAACTTTACTATTATTTATATATTTATTTATTTTTAAAATAATTTATTTTTATATATTTATTACTATTAACGTATTATTAAACGTACCTTTAGCTTAGAGACGACGTAAAATACCCGTACGTATTTTTTACGTAAATTTCCCGTACCATATTTTACTAACTATGATAATAATCAAGGAACGCAATCACTTCGACAATTGGTCTCGTCTCGATTCGGCCCAGTCGTTACTTTGCTTTATGAACTACTCGTAAAAGGCCGAAGTAAATCTCTAGCCTGCCGGGCCTTTGAAAAATGAACTTGGACAAGAATCTGCATTTAGGCCCAACTTAGAATCTACAACCTTAAAAGGGCTCAACCCAATGGTGCAATCCCATCCCATGGATTAGGAATTGGGATTTGGAATGTCAATTTCGGACAACTCCACCTTTGGTAGAACACACAGAACATTCAGTAGGTTCATCAGGGCTGCCATTTCCTGATTTTGACAAATGTATCAATTCTTTCCAACAATAGTCCAGACGTTCATAGAGTTTCTAGGTATATAATAAGGCTTCGAGACAAGTTTAGGCCAACCCTTAGTGCTTTACTTAGATCGAAGCATGGTCCATGAAACCGTACCGGATATCGTACCGGAAAAATCAGCGGTACGATATTTTAAGATAAAATCGTAGTTTAACCGTAGTTCAATTGTTAGATCGTTAAATACCCCCTACCGATTTAGCCACCAATATTGATATTTCGTGATTGAACCGCCGGTACGGTACGATTTCATGGACCATCGAAGCAGTTCCCAAACTTCTTTATCCACAACGTTTCCTGGTCTGCCAAAACGCTCCACAGAAGTCTAACTAGACAAGTCTGACCCCAACTGTGAAGATCCTTGAACCCCAGTCTCCCTTCTTTCTTAGACAATAAGGTAATGATTTTCCAAGTTACTTTGACTTTCTTTTTCTGCGAGTCCCATAAAAAGCAAACATTAACCAGATAGTTAAGTATAGTTTAGCATAGTATCTGTCCTATATTTTAAGATAGGTACATGTTTCTGGCCATCATTTTGACTGCCATCTCACAAAGACAACACCCTAAACGGATTAATAAAGGAAACAAGAAACCAATTTAAGTGGGAGATTGGAGAAAATATTAAAGATATCCGATTGCCCCATGCATTGTCCCTCCCTTCCTCTGAATTCCTGGGCTTGTGTTGGTCCTCTTGTCTTGTTGTGTTGTTGCCTCTTCCCTCTTTGTCTCTAAGCTCCATATTTTCCACTATTAAATACATTAAAGGAATGCTACCAGTTAGTTACTTGTCAAAGAGGGACCAAGTCAAGTCCTTGCCAACTTTTTTTCACGTGTTTATTTGTTAATAGATGGGCCAACTATCCAATCCATGATCCAACCTAGATTTAAGAGCAAATTGTGTGTGGAGTCTCTGGACCAAATCATTTGACTGATACTCCAAGACAGATCTAACCTAGGTTTCAACAACCAACAAACCAAACCAACTCTCTCCCTTATCCTCTTTGACCCACCCCAAAATAAAAGCTCTCGCTTTTGACTTTCTCTTGTGCACGAGAGTCAAACGTAACTCTCCCTACAAATCTCTTCCAAATCCAATAGTTTGCGAGTCTTTACGGTATAGTTAGGTTTAAGAGCATGTCTGTGTATCATATGTTGGTTGACTGTCCTGGTATTCTTTTAATGGTGGAGGATCTTATGGACCATGATGAATTTGTCTTTCCTCATCCTTTCGCAGGTGAAGGCAGCTCGTACGTACGTAGTTGCAACAGGAGGGAAGTTGCTTCGTTAGTATCAATACTATGATGTTTAAAATCACTTTTTTCTTGAACTATGATCACAATTTTGATGAGACCCGCTTGACTTGATCCATTATTATTCAAATGGCTAGCTTACTCAGAATACTGTGAGATCGTATTATGACTTTTCTATTATACACAGACATGCTCTTAGAGCTCACAAAATGACTACTCATTTTGTATGACACTAAGATGCATGTAACTTCTAATAAGCTTGATTTTAAAGATTATTACTGACCCAGAATACTATGAGATCACATGATGACTTTTCTCATATGTGGCTATCCATGTCTCATGTCCCACCTTCAGGTCGGCAGGGGCGAAGGGAGAGGGTTAGAGAGGGTGGGTACCCTGGTTCGAGAGGGAAAATGGTAAATTAGGTATAATAGTTAAATAGGTATAAAAAATGAACACTTCTACTATGCTATATAGCATTGGTGCTTTAATGTACAACTTGAAGTTGTACCATAACATTAAATGTATAAGTTTAGGTTGTACTATAAAAGAATTTATACCATTATGTTATGGTACAACTTGAAGTTGTAGCATCACATAAATGTACAAGTTCAAGTTGTACCATAAAAAAATTTGTACAAAAAATATAGGTACAAATACAATCTGAAATTGTACCATAACGTTAAAAGTACAATTTCAAGTTGTACCATAAAAGCAAAAACCTATAGCACCAATGCTATATAGCATTGTAAAATTCCTCATGAAAGATAACATGTATTTAAATGAGAATAGTTTACTTTTTAAATATTTGATATATGATTTATAAGTTGTGTATTGGCATATTCAATATTTTTATAACGAGCTATGTGCAAATAACAAAGGTGAATACGGAATATGACCTGCCCAAAATTAGAGATGTACTACTTATTCAATATCTACAACAAACTTCCACCAAATTATAGCTCATTTATAAAAATAATTTTATTTCGAATAGGGGTAGGGAGAGTATAACAGGTGGATCCTAGGGACGAAGAATGAGTAAATTAGTGTAATAGTTTTTTTTTATAATGATGGCATTCATTAGTTTAATTTAACCTAAAGCAAACCAAATTACAAAGAAAAATAAAAGAAATCAAGGCAAAGCAAACAGATGGGGGACAGGGACACACAAAACAGCTTACACCCTGCTGCAAATGCATCCCCAAGCCCAACTTGAACACCAGGGAAAGAAAAATTGTCATCCCAACTCAGAGCTCTACATACAAGCTAGATTGGGGGATATAAGACATGTAAACGCAGTTGCAGCTATCTCCTGCAAGTCCTCAAAGAAACCCGAAAAAACAAACCACACGAAAACGGGGCACTGCGATACTGAACTCACCAGCGCGCTAGAGTTAAGATAATTTAGTAAGCTAACCCGCTCTCTCACTGCCCCACTCCTTAGTGTATATTTAAGAGGTATTTCCCAAGTTAAACTCTCATTTTCAAAATGCAGGCACTGTGAGACTGAAGCAAGTGGGAACACCGCAGCAGCCGCCACCCTTGGAAAGATCTCCGCAAGAGTCCTTTCATTGAGCCAATGATCCAGCCAAAGCAGAATGTTGTTCCCCAGACCGATTTTCACTCTTGCGAACTTCCAGAACTCAGCATTAACTGTTGTGATTTGCTTCCAAGGACTGAATCCCAATGGCGCCTTGGATCCCTCCGCTCTTCCAGCTCGTTGCACCATTGGCAAACTTTATTTGTATGAGCTCCTTCCACCAATTGTCTTGCTCCCTCACAAACCTCCACAACCATTTACATA